TGTGTGTGTGTGTAGGGGGGGTGCAAGTACGGTTGTGGGGCTGCGGCTCTGAACTGAACTTTCTCTGCATGTCTGCAGTTAGAATTTTGAGGCCCCAATCAATCCCATCATGTTAATGTGGTTGTCTGGAGTCACAGTTTGAAACTGTGGGTAGTTAAGATGTAGTTATCTGTACACCTGTGGTTTTAGAGAAGAAGAGAGAAAGCCAAAAGGAAATTAAATAAAAGCACAATAAACCGGTTTTGTTATACTCCTTCAAAAATTATTTAGAATTTGAGTTGCAACAGGAAGCATAACCAGTCACTTATTTGAGGACATTTTCTTTAGTTCTTGAATTGAAGACAACCTGAAAAAAAAAATGCAGTAATTATTTCTCCTGACACTGAATAAGGAAGGGTGGGGAGAAAATAAAAAAAGAGAAGGGAGGCCACTGAAAAGATCAGATGGTTGTTGTGTTCACACCAGGCACCAGGCCACAGCTGAGTACATCATCAATTTATTGCCCAGCAGATGCAAATAATGCTGAAAACCAAACCTATGATTTTTATCCAAACACAAGAGTCTTGTTTTTTTTAAAAAGACAAAATATCATCATTTCCCTGTTGCACCACTGCATCATAATGTGCTATTTTATTACAATTCTCAACTCGGATATACTGTATTTTCAGCACTCAGGTACAATACTGCACAAATGTTAAGTAAAACAAGAATTCCAATCTGAATTACTTAAAAAAAAGCAAAAACTGAAGATCACTTTGTCATCAGTGTGACAATTTAGCTGAACCATAACTTACAACAGTGGTGCCTGATGACCAAGATTAAAAACAAAAAAAGGAGGTCTCTTTAATGAATAAATACACATTTATAGGCAGCTTAGGGAGAAAACACAAGCCAATTGTGAGAGTGGAGATCTGCATACAATTTGCAGGTTTGTTCTGTTTGAGTGGATGTGGATCACAAGCAACTCTGAACACATGTAAAACATTCACATAGCTTTATACTGCCTTCAACATGTTGAATATCACAAAACGTTAGCTCTGCAACAGTTAAAATGGCTGAGTCCTGCTGGAAGCTAACCCCCGAGCTAACATTCAAAACTTCCCCCGGGGCTGGATGAGAGAAATTATTATCCCATAGCTTTAAACAATCAAACATCAGATAAATATTGGAAATTAAAAACAAATTAAGGGAGTGTTGTGTGTTCTAAATCTGCATTCAAACATGGAGATCATTTTGGGCTTGAATTGGGTTTTAAATCATCTTTTTTTTTTAGAGAACGTCCAATGTCTTGAAAAGGGCTGGATCACACTTTTTGATTCCTGTACAGTTAGATCTATCAGGCTCACTACAGGTCAAACGTCACCATAGTTTGAAATCACTCGCACTCATCTGTACAACTCTGAATCTGCAAGAAGAGGACAAGCAGGCATGTCTATGGAGTATCTTACATATAACCACACAACAGACACTAACTAAAAATCAGGTGAGCAATGAATGCTTTATCAGGTAAGTATACGAAACTATCTAACTATCTGTAATACAGCCATATAGTAATGTTGTTTAGTTGAAGTCAACACCCAGCAAAACTAACTATCCTGACATGTCAAAAACACAGCTCAACAAATATTAGCATGATTTCCATCCTTTCAATATGTCCAGAGTGAAAATGTTACTCACAATGCAAGATACAACCAAACTGTATTTCAAACCTGAGCCATAAAAGTCTAACAATCCTACATTAGCTCAAATAAACCCAACGCCACTCAGCCCTGGGTCGCTCCCCTTATCTGTAACACAGAGTGAAAATTTAGATGTCATATCACTAATTGCACAAGATCAAATTTCAGGAAGAGGGGAATAAAAGTAGGATGAGTAAAAACAATGTGCTTTTCTAGTCACGTTTGACTTTCATGGCTTTTTGGAAACATGGTTTTTGGGGATTTTCTTCAAAGTTCACCTTCCTTTTGTGATGAGGCACAGAAGAGTCGAGATCAGAAGTTTTAAGGTGACCTCCTGAGTAGGATTCAGCCTTGAATCTCCCATTCAGGATCCACAATCTGCCACATAGCAACCAGTGATTCCTACTGCGATCTATGAAGTGAATACATTTCAAGGTTTTCTAGGTAGTTTGACTGCCACGTTAGCCTCGACAAGCAACACTCTGTCAGTGTTTTGGGTTCAACACTGAGTTTTCATGAGGCTACAAAGAGGTGTCTTATCACTGTACAAGGTAGATGCTGTACATAAAAAAAAAAGAATCCACACGCGTTGACCCCCCCATCGGGCAAGAAAAATGTACAAGAAATAAAAGGAGAAAAAAAACAAAACAGGCAAAAATCAAAGCTGTGATTGCACTCTCCAACCATCACGGATTTACATCTCAACTCGCCACATTGAATCACGCCAGTTTGGGTAAGAGGTCAAATCTGTACATATGAAATTAATGTGAAATTAATTCCCATCAAACGAAAAATTGCTACAAGCCTAAAGGTTCGTAAATTGAGCTCTTATTCTGTAATCTTCTTTAAAACTAGTGATCCAAACAGAAACATCCTGGTAGGCAGACAAAGTGTGGGAGTCCAGTTGATGCAGTCGGGATAACATACCACAGGTTAGACCAATATGAAGGGCATGCATTGGAGCGAACTCCAGTTAACAGTGGAATGTGATGAGGACCGATACTACACAAACCTGAATCCTCAATAAAATCACATTTTCCCCTCAGATCCACTTCATAACCATCTGACCAGTTTTGTTGCTTTTAACTGAAATTAAATTGGTGCTGGTTTTCTAAATTCACCAGAATAGGTGTTAATTACATTCTTTCTATACCTGGAAAGTTGCTCTTGGCCATTAATATCAATATAAATTTGCAGAGGTACAGGTGATTGTGAGACAGTGGCATCAAGTGTTACAGGTGCCTCCTGACCAAAAACTAGTGCGATCAGCATGAAACATGAAATCCATACATGGTCAGATGGTTAAAAGGGTAGCTCTGCCCTATTCCCCATGGTACCAAGTGAGTCTGACCAGAATCTCCACGAATGCATTTGAGTAAAGCTGCTTTTGTCTTCATTGCCTTTGCCATACAGATCATGCAGCTGGTGTACATTGCACAAATCAACACCTAAAAAGCACCCAACTTGTCTCTGTCACCACATTGTCACTCGCCCCTGTATTGAGACATGTGTTTCATTAATGTTTTCCAAGACTTGACCTTAGTAAGAATTTATTTCGCACTGCACAGCGGCACACGTAGACAGGTAGCTGCAGCAGGTTGACAAAGAGTAACAAAAAGTTAAGTAACATGTCTAGGTAACATCCAAACTTGAAACTCTTTTGCTGACATGTCTCAAACAATATGTTGAAAAAGATACGCTTAGGAAGCATTCAGGGTTGATTTATGAGTGTCTATTGGCACTACTCTTTTTTTTTTTTTCTGTACAGTGTGCTAAGACACCTCGTGTGCGATTGTGCGCCTTAAAAATACTGTCTTGACTACAGGTTAATATCGTGAAGCTGCGCGCGCCCAGGCAAGCAAGACCTAAGCAGCTCTAAAGTGGAGTGACTAACAAAATGTTGGTCAGAATCAATTAGCCATGTGGAAAAATAGAGGGAATCAGGATTCAGGTCAAACTAGAAAGCTATATTATAAAAAGTGAAATTTGAGTAAAGAAATGAGATGTTCATGGGGCCATTTCCTGCCTACGTCTACATGACACACCGTAAAATGCGGAGATGATGGAGAGAGACTGTGAAAGCAATCGCGACATCTGTGTAGGGAGAAACAGCTACAGAATGGGAGGGGTGTCAAACACACCAAAGGCTAGATATCCATAAAAATCCTTGTTTAGTAGTAATAATAATAATAAAAAAATCAACTTGTTTAAATATGAATATTATAAGTCTGCTTTCTCATGGTTAGGAAATCAAATATAGTCTCTGTGGGGGTTAAAGGAGGGGGCGGGATGGGGGAGCCCTCCTATCACTACAACTCCATGTCCTGGGCCTCGTCTTCTGAGAAATCAGACATGGAGCTTTCAGATGAAGAGTCGCCTGCCCCCTCTTCCTGCTCCTTCAGAGCCTCCTCTGTTGCATATTTCTGGATGTACTCTGTGTGAGGGACAGACGGAGAGAAAGAACATGGTCAGACAGGAAAAACTGAGACCACACTGACAGATATTTGGGAAAATAGCTTTTTTCCAGGTGTGCAATAATCTAAAAATCGAAAAGGATCTAGAGGCAACAGATTTAGGCTGAACCTTTGATTTTCTGCTTGTACTCCTCTGGCCGATGAAGGTACATGGCAGCTGCATCTCCATTCAGGGGGTCGATGGGGTTTGGGTAAGCCAGCAGCTGGGGCAGGAACGACTCAAAGATGTTGGTCAGATCTGGTGAAGAAAAAAGACACCAGATGATCATTTTACCAACTGAAAGAAATGAGTAATCAGACAATTATATAATCTGGTGATCACTTAAGTGATACTTTGCAGTTACTGTGAAGTTAATCTGAAACAAGCTGATGGAGAAATGCTCAACCAACATTCAGCCAATTATAGCTCTAATATAAAACAGCTGCCTCTGTTAATTGGCCACAAAAAAAGCTCATCAATTTACACACATATCAGTCAGTGATGACCATACAAAAGGATCAAAAAGGTGTGGTGTATATGCTAACAACAAGAACACACATGTTAAATCTTCAGCCTGACCCACAGACACTGGAACCACATTAATTCCCTTTCACTAGCTCTCTGCTAGCAGGCCTCTGCTTTCTTTCAGAGCTGAGGCCTAGTAAAAAAACCTGCAATTCTGCATTTGTCTCCTAGGTGTCACCGTTGGGTCCATTCAAATTGGGAAAACACAGCCTTCCCGACAGTCTATTGTACAATATTATCATGTTTGGCCGATTGAATCAGTTGCTTTTGTTCCCTCTTGCTTTGTAGAGAGTCATTACAAACAATGCTTGGTTGATTGGCCTATTCTTTCCATGTTTGTCAAATCTGATTTTCTCTCCTCAAACAATCCACACAACAAAATCTGCAGCATTTCACATGACTGCAAACAAAAGGTAAAATAACACAAATGTGATCGCCAAGGGTCTGACTTGATTCTGGTGAAAAACAGGCCAAGCTACCTCACTTGATAACATCGATGGCACTGACGTCAATTAGCAAATTAGCTGCCATACCATTTAGGGTTTGAAAATGCTTTTCCTAGTCATACCTAGAACACTAATGAATAGGGAGGGCTGCTGAAACATATGCTTGGGATAATACTGTAAAGCCATTTATATTGCTCAACAGCCATCCTAGCACTGTGGAGGGGCTTTAATGAGAAATTAATGGGGAAATAGGGAGAAGGGCACAGGGGCATGGAGAGCAGCAGAGAGAGACACGGTGACAGTGAGAAGAGCAACTGGGTGAAAAACAGCAAGTACAATTGCTGCCATCGGGAGTATGTGAGCACGTCGCTGTCTCTCACAGCTGACAGACAGTAAATCATTCCTGTCGAAGGTGAATGTTCTCTGACCTCGCTGGGTGAGGGTATTACCTCGTTAGTGTTCACTTTTCCCCTCAGTAAGTAGATTAGGGACAATTGTGCACCATTGCTCAGTGTGCCCATGCTTGCTAGCGAGGGGCCGCAGTCAGCTTTCTGCTGCTGATGGCACTGTGTCAAGTTCTTAACACATAATCACACAGACCCCAGTGAGGGAACTTAATATGGACACGTAGGCAGTGGGGCTACTCACCATAAAGGGCTGTCCATGTCTGGTTGATGACATCTAAGCACACTGTCCCTGACCTGGGAAGAAAACAGGGTTAGAGGAGTAAGGCTAAAGGTAATCTGAATGCAATGCATGTCAATGTGGATCCATTAATAATCAGTGCAGTACAATGGTGATATATCCAACATTACTTGTGGGGCAGTCAATTGTTTAAAGGGGAGTTCAGGAGATTCTTGTCAGTGAAATATCATGTGACCAGGTTGGACATACTAGGTAGTTAATTTCCAAATGGTTATCAGTCACTGGTACATATATATTACTATAAGTAGACCAATCGCAAAGCAAAGTTTGAATAATAGAAGCATTACATAAACACTGTTTACTCTTGTTAGCTGGCTTAAGAAATCAATAGAGAAAAATTAAAGTCATATTGATTTATTTACAGTTTACCTTATACATTATGTACTGTAACATGGAACTTGCCCCTGTTTTGCCACTGGTATTTCCTGGTGATAACGATGATGTAAAACTTCCTCTTGAGACCCACCTAAATGCACCATTATTCTCGGCCCTTGTAAGCCAAGACTGTCCCATCTGGGAATGAGGCACAGGTTCAGCCTGTCCATCAGGTCCTCCCAGAGACCAACCTTTACAGACCGTGTCCTTCAGAGGATCTGGCCTCTAAGCAGTGGATTAACAGGCCCAGAGAAACAAAGAGCTTGGCCAGGTTCAATATTTGTGTGATATGCTGCTGTTAGCAGATTATGTCGAAACTGGTGACTCATAAAAAAAAGTTAGAAGTGTAGTTCACTGCATAAATTGATCTTTTTTTTAGTATTAAACAGCCTAGAACTTTCCATAAACTAGGAAATATCAATTCAGCCAGTGCTTTTAGTTGATACTATAAAAAGAGCTGGCTGTTTACAACACATTAACAAGCAAATATCATTAGATGAGCTTTATGAGTATAAGGACCATTACTCCAACAGTCTACAGTGGCATTGTAGTCTTAAAGTAACAGAAAACCACCCAAAACATTTAAAATACATTAAATAAACTTACGCTTCGTCAATGTTGGGATGAAAAATCTTGTTCATGAATCCTGAAAAGGCAAGGTGGATATGAGAACAATGTTAAATACAAATTCAAGTGGAAAGTTGTGATCTGGTAATCCTTCATGAGACAGAGCTCTTACCTATTGATGGCGATTTGAAAGGGTATTTGTCAGGAAGATCTACTCGCACCTTCCACACACCTCCCTCGTACGGCGCTGTACATGAGGAGGGGAGACAAAAAATAATGACAGAGCACTGTTGAGGACACAAGAGAGACTGTCCTTCCACTGAACATCATATTCCATCCTTCAGGCACTCCAATGGATTTAGACACTGTAGGGTCATATCAATATTTTGCACTCCTTTCTCCTCTGCACAGAAACACAATAGAGCAAGGGCCACTTCAGAAATGAGCTACACATACCACTTTTCCCTTTGCCATTTTATTTTATTTTAAGCAGTAATGTATTTCAGCCCTGGAGAATTCTTTACTTCCAAATCGCTTCATATAATACACTGACATCAAAGTGGAAGAGAATGAGATGTGTGATGTTCTCCCAGAATAGCTGTGTGTAACAGGACCCTTATGTGCCGTACTGAAACTGAACAGTGGCATAGCGACACACTTGTTGAGGATGAATGCGGTGCATAGAGACACACACACACACACACACATACACATACACACACATACATACACATACATACACATACATACACACACACACACACACAACAGTGCAATTATATTTGGCATAGTTTCAAGGCATCATAAACAGGGTCAAACACCCACTTCCTCTCTTTACTGATGCGTAAGTGGTAGTGGTTTTAGTGTGACAGATGTTGCGAACAGCATACGAAAGGAGTATTTCCTGCTGATGAGGCCGCACTCCTCATCCAAATTCCCCTCAAGCCTGTCTCCTCTTTTTTTACACTTTGTGGCCTCAGGCCTGGTTTCAATCCATTTTACGTCCCTGACTTGCTGTGACGAACCTCTCTTTATGTTCCTAACAGGAGAATGGCTGTCAACAACATTCATTGTTACTTCATGCTCCGTTTATAGGTTTAACTAAGCATGAGATGTGGTCAGATTATCGTTTTTTAACAGCAATGTGAATCTGGTTTTACAACTAGCTGTAATGTGAGAGGAGGAGAGGAAACGTGGGGTAAATCTTTGTTGTTAAATCAGAAGAGAGAAACACTTACTTCCTTGTGGTCCGAAAAACTTCACTACAAATTCATTGAGTCCGCTGAGGATGGTGACTTCATGCTTGCTCTCAATGCTGTAAGGCTGTTAAGGACAACGTCTTCACATGACTGCATACACATATACAAGCAGAACCCGAGGGACAACAATGATGAACAATTATTCAATAATATTCAGGATCACTAACAATTTGGCCTCTCTGAAACAGTTATTCAGCTGCAGTTGTGCAGTTTAACACATTATCACATGCTTTTTTGCAAGGAAGACGAGAGCAGTCTGACCTTTTTCCTCTCTCCTATCCAACATTAATACTTTCATATCATACAGTTATAATAACTAAAGACAGAAGAGATAGCGTTTGACAGATAATGAAAACAAATCAATGCAGGAAAATTATACATGGATTATGTTCTGACTCCTAGCCCTGGAGACTCACTTTCAATGACAATCAATAGCTTCATGCCAATTTGTCATTCTGCAATATGAATTTATATCTCCAGATTGATGTATGTGGACCTGTGAATCCACAAAAAAAAAAAAAAAAAATCATGCACACTTATAATACCCAGGAGATCATATTCAACCATGCTTCAGGACCATGCAGGCTTTCTTTCACCTGCCACTCTCTAATAAACCTCCTGGACATAAAGCACAAGTCCCCACTGAGAAATGTAGTACATACGGCCATCTCCTTACAAAGAGGAGAAAAACAGCTCTGTTTATAGTAATCCATTTCTGATTCCAGTTTATATAGGAGGAGATAAGTTACTCTTATTCGAGATGAAATTTCTGGAGATTCCTCAGCTAGGCTGGAGTGGCTTCATTAGTCCAAATAAGCAAATAATCCAGCCAATCAGAGAGAAGCACTCTGACAATGTCAACAAATGTGCAATGTGCAAGTTACTTAACCGAGATGTGCTTTTATCAAGAACCTTTTTGAAGAACCTTATTTTCATCATTAGGGTTATTCATTTCTGACAATTTTCTTTTCTTTCTTGTATGATTGGTCAAAGCAGAAGCTCCCAAAATTATTTGAATCTAACCCTCTCCATGTAATAGACTGCAGATAATGTAGATTCTGTAAACATTTGGGTGTACAGATGCATGCAAGATGCAAGAATCTTAGTACTTCAAACAACAAAAACAACCAAGAAAGCTTGACCCAACTGTTAAACTGATTACTTACGTGTTTATGCGTTTTAATGTTCACCATCAAACCTTTTTAAAAAGGGTGAGATTTCAAAAACCCAAATCTTCCACAGGAGAAGTTTGTTTCGGTTAGTGGTGGAAATAATCACCCAGTGTTTTCCTATGCAACTCCAGTTACAGACATAATTACAACAATAACAAACCCTAAAGAACGTTAAGATTATTTTCATTCAGTGTATCATCTGGCAAATCCAACATTACAGCCATGTGCATATAATGTAAGCTCACTCTGATAATTTTTGATCTCTACTCTAACACAAAATCATCACACAGAAATTGTTTCCCTTTCATGTGAGCAGAGGGAAGAAGCACAGGAAATAAAGAGTTACACATACAGAGAGAAAATAAACAAGTGTTAAAAGAAAGAGAGGGAAATTATCACAAAATGAGAGTGAAAGACCGACAGAACACATTAGAGACACAAGGTACAAGAGATGGGATAGAAATTGGTTTTCCATGCCCCACAGTAGCAGCTGGCTTGTCAATCCTGATTGAGTGTGTATCCCATTAGCAGTAGCACTGACCCCCAAAGGGTTAAACCAAACTGGAGGTTATTTTAAGCCCTGGTTCAGTCTGCGAAGAGCAGACTGAATCCCTGGCTTCAGCAAGGAAATGTGTCATTGTCAGACAGAAGAGGAACCTCTCTGTTCTGACTCGTGTTGGAGTCAAGGAGGCTCTTTGATGCAAAGTCCAGGGCAGAATAAATGACCACTAACACCAGGAGGACAATACTTATCAGAAGAATGCTAGAAAAACAACAACTACCCATACACAATAGGTCAGACTTCCATATTAGACTCTGTATTACGTTTACATTCTGCAGCTCATCAAGTTCTGCCCTTCATGTAAGGACATCTATGCACCTAACCAGTAGTGAAACTAATGGTGTGTGAGTGAATGTGTGTACAACCACATGAGAGAGGGGAGCAAAGCCGAGGAGGGGGATGGTATGGACTGTGTGTGTTATGGTATAGAAGACGGCAGCAAGGCAGGGTGGGGGATAAGCTATTAATGGGGTTGAATCAACACTGTGCTGCAGGCTAATTGACATTGGCCATCCTGACTTTTTCTTACAGCACATTTAAATTTTTTACACGTACCTTTTAGACATTTATGTGACACTTAGGCTATACAGTTTCCCATAAACCCGTACCCACGAGTTCACTTGGCAAGACAGCAAAATTACAAGCAAGCAGAAATGCAAAGGTCCAGGTGTTAGTGACCTGTAAATATTCATGTAACCATACTGAGATCATGTGAAAGAAGGATAAGGTAGGGAAAGGGAGTAGCTCATATTGCACCGACTGTTTAAGTTACACACACACACTAAAGAAAAATCACTATCAAGCTCATTTTAATTGCAGTCAAATGTCACAAATAACCATGTACAGTTTCCAGAATAGACTGTGGCTAGACTAGGCACGTTCCACCTATCTTTAGAATCACAAATACAAATACATCGGCCACCAATCCTTCCTTACAAAAACCATTAGGTTTAGGTTAATAGTATTAATACGAGTGTGATTTGCCTGGGTAAAAGCAGCAACATACACACACATTAGTCACAATCTTAATCTTAAGGAACAATCTCTGGCTTTGACGTCAACTTCAGCACTATTGCTTTCTCCTTTCATCTGTATCTTCAGTAAGGCCAATCCCAAAACTATGAATTCATCTGGATACGACTCTGGCCATCTTCCATGTTATTATGACACAATAGTCTAATCCACTGGCCTTTTGTTTAATACCGTGAGACCCAAAGCTCCAAGCACTCATTCCTTCCACCCAGTAAATAACTGCAAGGCACTGTCAACAACAGCTCCCTCCCCCTTATGAAGGAGTTTGGCAGGTCTGTTAAAACAGAAGGGAGTTCCTAGTCGAGCTTGTAAATTTCCCAACTGTTTCATGGGGTGGAAGATGTATTGAGAGTGTAGTTGACAAACAGCCACTCAGCCAGCCAAACAGAGAGAAGATAAGTGGACAGTCACAAAACTAGATAGACAAGGTAAACACAATATGCCAATTAACTATGTGCTGCAGTTTCTTTTCTGTGTGGGTTTTGAAATTGGGTTGAACAGTGTGTTTACATGCACATTAATATTACATTTATATTTTGGACATTAAAGTATTGTGTATACGTGCTGCTGTGCCTAAATTCCAGTCAAGTGAAGTCATTAAGTTACATGAGCATTGTAAACAAACCATTTACAATGACCTGAATATTAAAAATGTAAACATACTAGCCTGGTAAAGCTGCTATTTACTGCTAGAATTTTCTGGCATGTAAACATGACATCTCACTTATTGTTTGGTTTTGAAAAAATCTAATTCGCACTAGCGAGAGGATTTATAAACCATTAAAAGTGGTTACTGATCAATCTAATCTTTATAGGATATTTCTTCTATTCCATAAATGAATGTGCATTTAAATAACTCACTGTCAACCTAGAGCAAAACTGTTTCAACAAATCTTAGGAAAATTACCTCCTAACTACATTTTGATCAAGGTTTTGCATTTACGTTCCTGTATCCTTGTATCTGTCCATCCCCCCACCTTGGATTAGTATAGATAAGTCATAATCTGTGCATAGTACCAGGTCAATATCCTTTTACACACACTTCTAATCTGATACACAAAGCCCAATCAATCCAGAAGAACACACACACACACACACTGCTTTATCTCAGACAAACCTCCTGAACTGAGACAGCAACACGGCCTCCTATGTTAACACTATTTCACTTCAAGACTTTCCTCATATAAAAGACACGCTGGCTTTAAAAACACTCACACTTGAAAAAGGTCTAAAAGAACTGCTTTCAGACTACCAATTAGCCTCTTTAAAATGTTTCAAAGTTTATCCAGGCACTCAATGTTATCCTGATTTTGAACTTTATAAAGCACATTTAAAGGCTTACGTGTAAAAATATGCACTAAATAGCATTTACGGTTGTGGTCTAGACATGTCTTGTTTTCTTTCTGGTCTATTCAGGCCACTATCCCTGTCTAACCCTGGATCAAAATATCCCATCCTGACCAACCTTTTTCTAAGTATGGAAAACAAACATGATGGAGAATCATAAGCAGCACTCTGTCAAACAATGCGGTGTCAACTATGCTTGAATAGTTTCCTCTTTGGAGACAGAAGTTGATGATCTAGTATAAGGGAGGCACTGTCTAGATTCAAAGCAGTTCCTTGTTTCATCTTTCTATTGGAGGGAAGAAATGAAGGAAAAGTCCACACTATCCGTCATCAACAGGGTGATGTAATAAATTTAGCTTATTTCTTTTCTTGTTTTTTGTTTTTTTCTCAATATCTGTAAAACAAAGAAACCTAAAAGTTCTAAAACGTGCTAAAAAGTGCTTTACAATAACAATATCAGCATAAAAAGAACAAAACATTTCTTCAAATGTTGTACATCCGTATGTCTTTGGCACATACAATCAATTCAAACTGACTCCACGGGCCAGTTTAGACCATTTACATATCGGCAAACAATACTCAACTACAATACTGACCACCTGCTGACACCTCCAGCTTCAAGTAATCCTTTTAAAGGGGAAGGTACAGAGCCTCTGGGTAGACTAGGCTGAAATAACAGGAAAGGCAGCAAATCAAACAATCCCAAAGACATGGGGGGAGAGCTAGGTTACTGCATAACAGAAGAAACATTGTGCAGAATTTCCAGTTATTAATGGTATTGACCAAAGAAGAAGACACTCAAAGAATGAACTTAAGAGGCAGTGCTTGTGTTTCAGAGTGGGAAAGCAAAGCTAAGAGGTAAGCCTGAAAGACGCTAATAGTCCGTAACCCCCAAAAGCCAGCGGGGAAGATGAATATATAAAAAGAGGGTAGAATCAGGTCA